CTAAAGTAATCTAATTCACAAAATAGGTACCTATAATAATTTTTGTGTGTTTATATAAATCCGTAACAGACTCTGAAAGACTGAAGAATTGACAATTTCAATATCATGGATTTGGAAGGACCGTCGGGTTCATCAAGTGAATCACTTTCGCCACAGTTCGTGCAGCAGGACGTCAATTTTTGCAACCCTGTTAATATTTACGGGGAAAATTTTTTTTACCACCCAACGGCGTCGTGCGGCGGGCCGACGAAGAGGTACGACTTGGAAGGCGCATATTTCAGCAAAGAATTCGATATTCACAAGCTAGATAAGGCGCTGGGCGAGAAACTATCCATAGGAAACGGAAACGACAAAACGGCCGCGGTGGCCTATCATCAAGCAGCTAAAGGCCGTGAGTCCTACTGCGGTACGGCTGGCGGTAAAGTAGCGAATAGTGAACTGGATGAAATTTTACCAGTAAGAAAAAGTGCGGAAGATTGCAACAACAAAATCGGAAGCATATACTTGAACAATAATAGCGGTGGTGGTGTTACAAACAGCTGTGGTACAAATAATAATAACAATAACAACAACAACAACAATAATAATAACAATAGTAAAAATAAAAATGAGAATAATATCGTGATTATGAAAAGTCCCAAAGGATTTGGGAAGAAGACAGTGGCATTTTCTCATGAACAGGTAAACTTTCGACCCATTTATTTAGTATATAAGCAGTGAAGTCTTTGGAAGGTTCATAAGGGGGGTCGTGACCCCGAGCCTTGCAGACATAGTGTGCTCGTTTTTAATTTAAAAAAACTAAAATAATTCTAAAAATTAATCACTATAGCATTAATTAAATTCATACTAAAAATTGGACACTATTTATAGCTGAATTTATATTATTGTCTAACATCATCATCATAAGGTCGTCAGTCCTAAGACTGGTTGGACAAGCATCTCCACTCTTTCCTATCTTGAGATAATATTCGCATTTCCACAAAACTAGAACAATCCGCATCCGTAACTATTTGCGAACAGTAATCTAATCTAGGTCTACCTCTACTCTAGACTAGACCTTCATGCCAGAGAAGGTGTCCTACCAACCTATCTCGCCTATTTTTTATTGACTTCCATGAAGTCCTCTGTTCTCCTATTCTTTCTAATACCTCTTCATTTCTAACCTTCTCTATCCACAATATCCTCATCATTCGCCTATAACGCCACACTTCGAACGCTTCTAACCTTTTCTTTTCCGTTGCGCCCATCGTCCATGTGCTGTGCTCCAAACATACACTTTTAACAACCTTTTTCGAATTTTTAAATTAACCTTTCGCGAGCGTAATAGTGACTTCTTTTTATTGAAGGAGACTCGACCCTACGCTATCCTTTGCTTTATATCCCTACTACTTCTTCTGTCCTGACTTATCTGACTTCCTAGATACTTAAGGGTTGTACAATGTACAGTCTGAATTCTAATTTGATATTCCTCTTTATCTTTATAAGAAGTAACATTTTGGAAATCCAAAATAATGGCTTATGCAATTTCTTTGTAGTGATTTCAAATGTACAACTAATGTCTTTATAAATCCGTTAGAAATTCATTTCATCATCAACTAGTCATGAAATTCTAGTTATGTGAAATTAGCGGTCACCATCCCTTAGTGTCATCAGAAGAATTTCTGTTTTGCGAATATGTATTAAGTATATGTACTTAAACTATCAAACTTTTATTCCTTCAAAGAATATCCCAATCCAATATTACAAATCCCTTTTAATACACAATTAAAACCAAAAAACAC